ATTACTCAGCCATTAAAAAGAATTCATTTGAATCAGTTCTAATGAGATGGATGAAACTGGAGCCCATTATACAGAGTGAAGTAAGCCAGAAAGATAAAGACCATTACAGTATACTAACACATATATATGGAATTTAGAAAGATGGTAACGGTAACCCTATATGCAAAACAGAAAAAGAGACACAGATGTATAGAACAGACTCTTGGACTCTGTGGGAGAAGGCGAGGGTGGGATGTTTCAAGAGAACAGCATCGAAACATGTACATTATCTAGGGTGAAACAGATCACCAGCCCAGGTTGGATGCATGAGACAAGTGCTCCGGCCTGGTGCACTGGGAAGACCCAGAGGGATCAGGTGGAGAGGGAGGTGGGAGGGGGGATCGGGATGGGGAATACATGTAACTCCATGGTTAATTCATGTCAATGTATGACAAAAACCACTACAATATTGTAAAGTAATTAGCCTCCAACTAATAAAAAAAAAAAAAGAACCCGCCTGTCAATGCAAGAAATGTAGGTTCAATCCCTGGGTTACAAAGATCCCCTGGAGAAAGGAATGGCAACCTGCTCTAGAACTCTTGCCTGGGAAATCCCATGGACAGAGGAGCCTGGCAGGCTATAGTCCATGGGGTTGCAAAGAGTCAGACATGACTGAGCGCTCAAGCACGCATGCACGCACATACACACTCCATCACTCACATCACTGTCTGAGCTCTGCCTTCTGTCAAAACAGTGGCAGCATTCGATTCTCATAAAAGCGTGAACCCAACTGTAAACAGCCCGTGAGAGGGATCTAGTATGCCACCAAACCAGTCCCTGGTGCCAAAAAGGTTGGGCGTTGCTGTTCGAGAATTATCACTTTCATGAGTTTAAGAACATTTGAAAAGAAACAGGAAATAGCTAACTTCAAATATTAGGTTTTTTTTTTTAAGTTCTGTTACTTTGTGTGATTCTCAGTAACAAAAAGACCATGGCTCTTCCACGGGCCTTGCATACACCTACTGTGTATATTTCCTTTGATTTTCTTAGAGTGGTGATGTTCCAATCTGTCCCATGACTCCTCTAAACTTTTAGAACCATTGTTCTCTGCACACCACTCCTCACAGGCCAGTATGTGTGACCTCCCAGTTGCTTTTGGGCTTCGCAGGTGTCACTAGTGCTAAAGAACCCTCCTGCCAATGCAGGAGACATAAGAGACTTGGGTTAACCCCTGAACCGGGAAGATCCCCTCTAGGAGGAAATGACAACCCACTCCAGTATTCTTGCCTAGAGAAGTCCATGGACAGAGGAGCCTGGTGGGCTACAGTCCATGGGGTCCCAAAGAGTCAGACACAACTGAAGCGACTTAGCAAACAACTGTTTCTACGGCAACCATGAAGAAAGTCAAATGCTGAAAGTCACCTGGAGACATCCTACCAAAAACTTAGCTTTGAGAACCTTCCTGAGAGTCTAACACCCTTTCAGTACATGTTTCAGTAAACAGTGGTTACCCGAAAATTGCTATTCTGATCCTGCAGCCTGGTAGTGGTGGAATCTAGCAGGCATGTGGAGACGGAGGAATTGTCTTGACACTGGTTTATACAATAAGCACTGCAGTTTTATTTAGACCATATCTTTGCTGGGGTGGCAGGAGGTGGACATTTACGGGGGTGAAGGGAAACCTTCCTCCTCCCAAGCCACCCCTGGCCCTAAGTGCCAGCAACTGGAGGAGTTTATGCCTTTATTTCAGGCTTATTATGGTTGTTTAGTCACTAAGTCATGTCCAGTTCTTTTGTGACCCTATGGACTGTAGCCCACCAGGCTCCTCTGTCCATGGAATTTCCAAAGCAAGAATACTGGAGTGGGTTGCCATTTCCTTCTTCAAGGGATCTTCCCAACCCAGGAATCGAAACTGTGTCTCCTGCATTGCGTCTCCTGCATTGACAGGCAGATTCTTTACCAATGAGCCACTGTTATGAGGATTAAATAACACACACATGGTTCTTGGTGCTGACTTAAGAGTGACACTCAGTAAATTTCAGCGTCTGTTATTACTGTTGGTATTCTATCTCTCCTCTGCCCTCACCCCATCTCCTCATCCCCAGGTTATATATACCTTTTCAACCCATTACTTGAAGAAGCATTATTTCATGTGTCCATGACACCCTGATCCCTCTCCTCTGGACACAATATGTCCCCAGACCTGAATACGGTCCCAGAGGTGCGATCAGACCAGAGGAGGGCAGAGGGGCCACTACAATTCAAAACCTATAACTAGGATCACACCAGTCAATCCTAAAGGAAATCTACCCTAAGTATTCATTGGAAAGACTGACTCTGAGGCTGAAGCTCCAATACTTAGGCCACCTGATGCAAAAAGCTGACTCATGGGAAAAGACCCTGATGCTGGGAAAGACTGAAGGCAGGAGAATAAGGGGGCGACAGAGGATGAGATGGTTAGATGGCATCACTGACTCAGTGGACATGAATCTGAGCAAACTCCAGACATAGTGGAGAACAGGGAAGCCTCATATGCTGTAGTCCATGGGGTCACAAAGAGTCACGACTTAGCGACTAAACAGCAACCACCACCACCTAGGATCAGGTCAGCTTTCTTGGTCATCCCATCACACAACTGATTCAACTAAAACTCCAAAGCACTTTCTATATATGCTCAAGCCGTCCTACAATTACATGATTTTTACCATCAAGTGAAAAATTCAGCATGGACACTAACTGAATTCCATCTTCCTAGTCAGTTTTCAGCCCGCAACAAACACAGCCTAAAACAGCACCTCTGCCAAAGTGAAATTATGACTGCAATACTAGTGAACAAAACAGTTTAAAGGAAATCCATTTTCATTTTATGATATACTATCACAGGGAGGAAGAGAACTTTGACTGCAAATGCTGCAGAGACCTGCAAATTCTTTAATAAACCTATAAAAATAAATTACAAGCATTCTTTGAAAATCAAAGCCTCTGTCAAACTGGTCCCTCTAAAAAGATTATGTGCTGCTAGTTAATGATGGCAAAGGATGGCCTTTCTGTCAGTCTCTCCCTAAAACCAGAGGGGAAGAAAAAGAAACAAAAATAGAAAAAGAATAAAAAAGGAAACAGCCACATCCCCAAACTGTAATTTATGAAAAGTCATTGCCAAAGGCAGTGAAACTTGCACCCAACTGAGGAAGCATAGTAAGAACAGGGACACACATCTCAGGTCTCCAGCAAGGAGCCGAGTTCATGAAATTAATAATAGTGATGACGTGGATGACCAATGGAAATGTACTAAGAGCTACTACGCCAGGCCCTGGTCCATGCGCTTATAGGGGTTAACACATTTAATCCTCACAACCACCCCAGGAGGTAGGTGCCATTATCATCCCCATTTTATCAACAAGAATATTAAAATAGAAAGAGGTCAGCTGCCTAAGATCACAGACTTAACAAGAAAAGCCAAGATTCAACCTCAGGCAATTTGATTAGAATCCACGGCTCTAAACAACCCTTTGCGCTGCCTCCCTTGTTCCCCAGATATAAAGCCAAACCAAACAATCTTTTGCTCAGGAAGACAAAGCTTGGGGGTCCCAGAAGCACCAATGAGCCTCATTCAACACCACAGCGTGAACAGCCAAGATAAGACTGAAGAAGAAAGAGCACAGCTTTTCTCTTTACAAGAAGCAGGCTGGCAGCGCGGCAGGTTAGAAAAGGTAACATTGGCAGTTCTCAAGGGGCGGATTTTTTTGGACTGTGTGGGTCCAATCAGGAGACAGAAACCAGACACTAATTCAAAGAGGACAGTTTCATGCAGAGAATGATTAAACAGTGACAGGAGAGTAAAATAAATCTGGGAAGAGAAATCCAAAAAGTATCCTAGAATGGGGAGACTGTAGCCCAGAAGGACAAACGTGGTAGGTAAAGGGTCCAGATCCACATTTACAGTTCAGACAACAAAAGTGAACGTGGAGCTCAGGGTCAATAAACTGATATCTGGCACAAGGAACTTCCCCAAGGGCTTACAGTGTAAAGAATCCGCCTGCAATGCAGGAGACACAGGAGACGCAGGTTTGATCCCTGGGACAGAAGATCTCCTGGAGGAGGAAATGGCAACCCACTCCACTATTGCCCGAAAAACCCATGGACAGAGGAGTCTGGTGGGCTACCATCCATGGGGTCGCAGAATCGGACACGACTGAGCATGCGCACACACAAAAAAAATAAAGAAGTAAAGGCTAAACCAGCATTCTGAGGCCCAGTGACAAATGCCAGCCTGTGACGAAAGCAACATCCACAAAGGAAGAGCACTGGTGGAAAAGGGATTTGAGTTG